AGCAGGAAATTGAGGTTTTTTTAGTTTGATAGTTTGAAAAAAGTCTTACCTCAGAAAGTTTCAGTGAGTTTTAGTGTCATAGTTGTAGATACTGTTGTGACTTACTTAAAAATCTGTTTGTGTCAATTAGTATCCTAATTGCATAAAAACGTGTTTAAAACTATGTGCTTTAGCAGTTTTGTGCTCTGGAAAAGGATGTAATAGTAAGTTAGCCTGAAATAATGAACTTGCTGAAGAACTGGATTGTCACAGAGCGTGTGAAAATGACAGCGGAAGGTCCTTGTTGAATTGGCGTCGTTATTTGAGTACTGGATTCAGAGCACGAAAAGTTTGCCCAGTAAATTTCACGTGCTGAAATCAATGAATTGAATTTAAAGAAGAATCGAGAGCTGTTCATTTGCTATAGTCTTCTGTAAAGAAACTCTAACATTAGACATGTATAGCTACTGGCATCCAACAGAGTAAGACTTCAGTGGATGGAGACAGTCTGCTTATGCTAGTCCTGTTTATCAGAATATGTTTTCCCAGATGGCACCACAAACACGAGCAGACTATACTGAAATCACTGCCAGGAGAAAAGAAATGTATAGGTTGTTGTTAGAGAGAAGCATTACAGAGGGAAGAGTCAGTAGTGCAATGGGAGAACCTGCATGCTAATCACAAGGTAACTGGGTAGGATCAGGGAAAAAAAACAAGATTTAAGATCGAACTCATCTTTTTTGAATCTGGGAAAGATAGTAAATGGGTAGAGAAATTAGTAAAAATAGCAGTAAAAAGGAAAAGATTCAGATAGCAAAAGAGACAGCAGGAGCAAAAGGAGAGTTGGAGAGTGCAAATGTATATAAAGAGGAAGAAAAGCTTGCTACATCTCAAATACTGAATAGCTCCCTTCATCCGTGGCTGTTAATAACGAGAACCTTAATCTTTTTCAAGTCTAGTTTAACCTATAGTGTGTAGAATATAGAGCTGAAAATCCTGAAGGAAAACAGAAAAGCAAAAAACCACAGATAATAGAACTAGGAAATGAAATTGTTCTGATTAAAAGATCTGAAGGATAGCAATGCACTAAAGCAAATTAATCTTTTAATAATGATAAAAGGGGCACAGAAGAAAAGAAAATAGAGACAAGATATTTGAATAAGTGAATTAAAATGTGAAAATATTGGAAATAACTCTTGCAGCTGATGTAAAACTTTGATTTTGAAGAGGTACTGATGCGTGTTTTAGTGCTTACTGTGCTGTGATCTGTATTGAAATATTGAGGTTTGCGATTTGTTTGAAGGATGTGAATGGTATGTTAGTAAGCATTAGATTAGTTTGTGGGACAACAACATCCAGTGGGTGTCATTATTCTTATTCTTGAACACATTCTGCTGGTTGTTTAAAAATAGTCTGTAACGCCGAAGTAACAAAAAGGGCTCTTTCGTGTCCTGCAGGCTAAACTAAAATGACATGGTGGACATCTTGTTTTCAGTGTTAATAACTTTTGACACACTGTTCAAATCTGCTTTCGGCTGAATATAAAGTGTTTTTGCTGGACAAGTTCCTGAAGTTTATGAAGGCTTCAAAGTCTTGAGTAAAATAAGTTAAAGATAAAGAATTATGTAATACATATGTCCGTGGAGGTCATCCATGACTCGTGAATCAGTCCATCTGATACCTATTATGGAAAAGCAAAAAGCTAAAAGCCAAGTAGTTATGTCTTACATTTTAACCTACTGTACCTATTTAAAAGAGCCTATAGATAAAAATGTGATTATGGGAGGCTAGTCTTTTGGGACATTGCACCTTTTAAAAAGGTATGGGCATTGTTTCAGCAAAAATAGATAATTTATTGTACAGTATCTAAAATACTTTGTCACTGTGGAAGGGTCCAAAAGTACTCCTGCTAAGCATTGCCTGCTCTTCTAAAATCTCTCCTTCAGTTTGTGTGGTATACAGACTTCTTATTTTCGGTCTCTTGAGAATCTGAAAAAGATTTTGAGTATGAAAAATTCCGACTAAGTTAAAGACGAAAGTGACTTATAACAGAAATTAAATTATTTTTAGTGAATAAAATACCTAAGCGTTCATTGTTATGAGAATGTTCCAGACTTATTTGCTGTCTGACTTCAATTAATCACAAGTATGGAGACTGTAGCAGCTCTAAACACTAGTAAAGCCACCGACAAAATCCCACTGATATCAAAAAGGCCCAGAATGCATATTTTGCAGGATGCATGTTTTCTTAGTGATTAAAAATATCTAAACATGAGACTCTTCAATTTTGTATTGTTTATGAAAATACATTTGCAACATGTGCTGACAATTCAGTTTAATAGATTTGTTCCCTCTGAAGTGTGAACAGTATTTTTAACTCCTTTAAGAAATTCTATTACAGTGTTGCCTAGTACAGGAAATTGCCTTTTAGACAGCCCTGTCCAAAATTCTTAATATGAACTCGTGCATGTCTGTGTTTGAGCAGTGAAAAATAAAGCATCAGAGTTAGAAGCCATACTTCCAGCTTTCTTTTGTTCCTTACAAATAAACTCTGTGTATTACAGCTGTGCTACTACATAGTTACAAGCCAGCTAGGGTAAAGGGACATAAGGACAGATTTTTAAACACCTTACCAGTTTAGACCTTAATATTCTGATTATTTAGTTAGCTTCCAATGATGATAATACCATGATAACCACGGCAACCACACTAAGATAAACCCCAACAGACCAATTTAATAACAAAGTCTTGCAGTGGTGACATAAAGAGGAGGGTGTTAATGAAACATACCATACTAACCAGCAGTGACACTTGACATCTTGCACAGCGTCCAGCAAACGCTTTCATGTTCCTGCTACAGTGAGGAGAAAGATGCATTTTTTTTCAGCAGGGTTGGCAAACTGGTCACCAGCCTGATGCAGATGCAATGCACGCTCTGGTGACCAGTTTGCCAGTGGAAAAGTAATGCTCAAGAAAAAAAAAAAGACAAACAAAAGAATATTACTTGTTGGGCTGCTGCATTTTGCTGGGTGCAGCACAACGTGATGCAAGAATGCAACCTAGGAGAGGAGGAGGAGAGGGCAGAATTTCCACTTCAGCCTCCCGTTAAGGGAATTAAGCATGATGTGATGCATGCTGAAGCTTGGCTGTAGGTCAGCCCCATTCTGTAAGCAAGCTCCTGGCTCCTCTGGCATCTCCTGCTGCGGGCTGAGTGCTTGCTGAGTTTATCCTCCGTCCTGTCCTGTCCTGCACGCAAATGCTCCTCAGCGCCAAGCACAGCTCCTCGTAGGGAAGGAGTCATCTTCCTTTAGATGGTTCTGTCTAACATGGACAGAACAGCAGCAGCAGCCAAGACAACAGAACTGGCAGCCTTCCAGCCTCCTGCCAAGTTACGCCTTTCTCCAACTCATCCCCTGACAAAACACATCAAACAGTATATGCATGATAAACTGTGAACAAATAAACATATCTGCAACACAACAGGGCAGTCTTTTATTCTGCATGTTGGCGTACAACCTGGCAGAATAAAGGTCAGGCTGTAGTCAAAATAGCATTTAAAAATTATGATGATAAACATGAACATCGAAGAAATTGTTTTGTGTCCTCATTTATCTGGAATAAAAATACAGTTTGATCTGATTTGATAAAATAACTTTGTTTCTTGACTAAGCAGACTTTTTTTGATTTGTAGCGGTAGTGTGAGATACCTGGCAATTATTCGTGTATGGAAAAGCTGTTTTGTGAGCGTTGGCTTACTCTTCTTTAAAATAGAATTTTAATTTTGTTTTAATAGGAGTAATTGGAGCAGATGTGAAAGGACATAACCTGCCGTGTGAAAACCAGCCAATTACATCCCGACTTGCTATGATCTGTGGGACATCTTCATGCCACATGGGGGTAGGTTGTGTGCATAGTCCTAATTTGTACAGAATATAGTAACTAATGTTTTTGAAGAGAAAAATGACCTTTGTGCTTCTCACCCTTTTTCTTGAATTTTTTTTTCTGGTAACTCTATCTTTACCTTTGGATATCAATTATATATTACCATGCATTTGCTTTTAAGCGAGAACTTTAATAGTAGTAGAAATCAATACTGAAAAATGACTTGGAAAGTAAAAACCACGTTGCTAGAGTGGCTTAAAGAGCAGCCTGAAATCTGAGCCAAAGACTCGGAGCTTGAGTTATCCGTGACAAGCCTGTCACTAATGTGTTACGGAATAGTATCTTTGGAGAAGGAGTGCATGTCTTCAGTCACAGCCCTTCTCCCTCACCTCTTCACTTAATCAATATAAATCCTTCTACCTCTGAAAGTTGCCATGATGCATAGAATTATGACACATATCATGACTAAAAAGAAAGAAAAACCTCGATAAGCAATTTTCACTTCACTAATTTTTCTCAGTGAATTAATACAAAAGCTTTTTCTGAGATTGCAATTAAAATTTAGTGTCTGCTTTTGAAATTTATACCTTTTTAAAATGTATGAGTCTGAAAGCATTCCATTTAGATAAGTACCCTTTTCTGCCACATTTTTTATTTAAAACTCATTTCGGTCTTAAATTTAGACTGATTATGATTTGGGCTTTTCCTAAACGAGCAAATGGCAATGGAAGTGCTAGAGCTTTTTAGAGAGGACTAACATGCTTCCTGGAGAGAGCTCCAGTAGAGAAAAAGAAAGGAGGCTGATAATAAAACGTCAGACTTAACAGTAAGTTAAGTTGTCTTCGTAGTAACAGCATGAATACACGGTGGTCTTGAGCATGAATAAATCGTGATCTTGTCACATGGATTGTAGCTCAGCAAAGCGTTTAAGCACATGATTGAATTTAAAGATGTGAATAATCCCAGTGTTGTAAAACAGAGCATTTAACAAAAGCTTAAATCCTGTAGACTAATTGAAATATATGTGTATTCCTTCCTAAACTAGGGTTTCAAACCTCAAGCTCCACCACACTTAGCTTACTCTGTCTCTGAAAAATTACGTTAGTATCTCTCTGCCTGTCATGGTGCAGGTAGGGCACGCTGCAAATACCAGCTCCGAGGGAAGAAGTAGCCCTTCAAGCCTGCCGCTACTTTTATTATTTCCATTTTTTTTGATGGAGGTTTCTGCCCTTTCAAAGCAGCTCTTTGTGTGAACTCTTCCTAACCTGTTTCATTTAGTTGAGTTAGTTTAAATCATTAAAATGAGTTGGGTTAATAGAGACATAATACTGGACCAAAATGAGCTGAGGAGCTCTCAGACAGTTTCCCCAAAAGGTCTAAGGGCAACGTTGAGCAGCTGGAAATGGGCCAGCTGGCTCTAACTTATTCTTTTAGTATAACTAGCCCTGGAGGAGGAGATGTGTGTGGTTATTTATTAATTTTTAATGTATGCATATTGGTAATTTCTAACGTAGACCCAGTTCACTAGTGTCGTTTGTTTAGCTTCCTAAACTATAGCATGGCATATCAGTACGAACACTTTCATGGCACTTAGTGTGTGCATACTCCACGACCATGAGAGATGTGGCTCCGTTAAATATGCTAGTGTAGCAAAAGTGGCATGATAAAATCCATGTTGATGTTAGTCAATGTTCTATTCTGTCCTTAAAGCAAGCCCAAAGTCGTACCGAGAGTGCACACCATAGACAAGGTAGAACCTTTTAAGGCTCTTGATCACTGGAATGCAAACTCGGGAATAGATGCTTGTGCAGTTTTGGGCTAGATTAAAGTAATGTAAGTACTCAGCGTTTTATAATTATTTCCTTAACTGCCTTCCTTCACTCATCTGCTCAGAGTTACAATAATCTCTAGCTAGCAGACAATAAGCAAATTGTAAACTTCTCTGAATTTAATCTGTGAAAGGACCTTGCTTTACTGTTCTTTTATCTGTTACCTGCATAGACTGCATGAAGCGAATGCAGAGCACACAGAGCGGTTGTATTTGTGTTTTAATGAGACCTGTATGCAGCTGCATTTGGCTGAAATTAGCTGTTCCTTTTTTTAATTAGGGCTATAAAATGAAAGTATATTATACTTGTGTTTTGATAGGAATATATATTTTCACGCTCCGTGTGCACCAAGGGACCCTCAGGGCTACAGAGATTAATCATCAAGTTTAATTTAATGCAGTGGGAGAGAGACCTGTGTGGTCAGGCGGGCATTAAAAAGTGCCTTTGATCCGCCTCAGGTGCACTGAGCCCCAGTGAGCCAGCAACAATAATACCTTTGTGAGATGATCAGAGACGAGAGAGGGAGAAAATGGCCTGTGTGGAAACTCAAGGCCGTCCTTTGTTGTGGTTCTGGCAAACGAAAGAGCCAACTGTCAGGAGAAATTCAGAAAACAGAAAGCAGGGTGAAAGTACGGTTGGATTTTTTTTCAAGGTATCGTAACAGGAAACTGTTCAAAATCATCTGCTATGCCTTTCTTTCCCCCTCCCTTCCTCCTTTTTTGATGAGGGCAGGGGTACTACTGTTGGTGTATGTGTGTTGGTACAGTATTTCCATTCTCTAGACCGAACACGCCGTGAGTCACCGAGGCAGGGATTGCTTGAACACAGCATTTACTCTAAACTTCAAGAGAAACTGCCCCATGACCCAGTTTTCATTACCTCAAGGACTCTAGAGATCTTGAACAAAAGACTTTGCTAATCGTGCCTTTGATATTTTAGAAAGTACAAATGTGAAACCTAATTTTACTCATGGTTATAATAGTTTAATTTGTGGCAGAACTACCATTTTTAAGTGAGGATACGCTTTTGGAATTAACCACTGACAGTTTGGAGTAATCAGACACACACAAAGCATTTTGTGTTTCTGTTGAGATACTTGAACAGCTCATGAAAGAAGGAAAAAGCGTGTTGTAATTAGGCTACTGATCCACGTCCAGGTCTGAGCTGGTAGTTGCTGAAAGTCACTGCCACCTCAGGGCTCATCCATTTTCCATGAGGAAAAAGAAGAGAAAAGATGGTTTTCTGAATATTTTTGGACAGTTATTCATTTTGCATGATTCTCTGCTGCCTCCTTAGCTATAGCAAAAGTCATTGGCAGAATTTGCATTTGGAATGGAAAATAAGCTGTCCTTTTACTTGAGAAGGATTGTCCCGTAGTTGAGGGCTGAGATTCGTTTGCCGTAGCTTTGATCTGTCTGTGTAGGTATTCCTTTCAAGTGACGGACTCTTCTGAGTGGGCAGCTGCACGTCATCGTGCGTGTAGACAGGGTCTGTAAGCTCCAGCACCCACGTTTAGTTTTGGAACCTTCTCAGGAGACTTTCCTTGTGTAGCCGTGACGACTACACAAGATACATGAGTGGTTTTTCGCAGTAAAACAGCAGCAGGTTTGAAGCCTTGAAATAGGAGCTTGCGTGTTATTCCTAACTAGTAGTTTGCATGGCTCTAACAGACATGCCCTAACTTCTGGGAATAAGGTAATTGGTTTCCCTAAAAGCCTATCTTCCTGCCAGTGTGTTAGGGGGTTTATGGGATATTTTAAAGGTTTCAAAAATCCTTTGTTTTCTTCTGAAGCCTTTTTGTGATTGGAGGGATTTCAGGTACAGATAACTGCATTATCTTGTCCCAGTCCTGAACACAAGCAAGCTTGCCCTTTGGCAGATGTGTAAAACCACCAAGAATTGAGTTAACTCTCGGGTGCCAGTTAGCAAACAGCAGAACAGTAATATGAACAAGCAGTGTGACAAGGTACTTGTACACAGAAATTTCCTAATATTCCTTGGAGCAAGTGATCTAGCAGTACTGCTGCTTCTTTCTGGTAGATAAATCTCGCAGTTTCCCATACCTGATATCATCATAGCATTTTTCTTGTGGGCAATGAATTCACATAATAAAGCTTTTTTTTTCCTCAAAGTGAAATATTTCATTAGACGGTAAGGTTTTTGTCAAAAAGACTACAGATTTGAGTAAACTCATGTGACACCTAACAGACTGGGATGAGACTGGTTTTTGGTAGCCTGAGGTTGTGAAAGGAATTTGAAGTAATTTAAAGTGGTAAGCAGAAGTAAATTATAGTTCTGGAGTGGGAATATTGAAAGTTCTGAGCATTTATGGAGTCACTAGGGCATAGTGCCTCTTGCCCCAGACTGGGACTTTTATAGAGAACAAGGAGAATGTGCATGCAGAGCCTCACGATTCAGAGATGTGGAAGCCCGTTGTGAGAGAGAGCAGGGATCTTCTTTTGCAACACCTCGTCTTCTGTTTTGTTGTCTGCAGCGTGAGGTCCTTGCTAATCTGGTATCTGTGCAGGATACGTGCTATTTATGCATATTGAATAAAGTAGGAGAGATCCACATAAAATAGCCCTGTTCATAAAATGTGTATAAACTCTCATTTCTGCCTATTTTGTGGTGAATTAGACTCACTTAGACATCAGTCGTTCTGCTTTGCACTTGTCCCAGAACAGTTTCCATTATGAAAATATTTGTCATTCTTCCTCTAACACCTTTTTGGATTCACAGCTGAAGGAAGTAGCCAGGGCAGCTTTTAATGGAAACATGATCTGGCTTGATTTCAGCTTACCGAGGCAGGGGGTGTCCAAATTTGCTGACATTTTGAGTCCCAAATATACAAGAATTGTGTTCCTTCTTATCCAATCTCTGATATTTCTTTTCTGTCTTCATTTGGTGATGTGATCTGTGTGCTTCTTGAGTCATTCCTTCTATCAGCTCTCTCTACTCAAAACTTATTTTTTGGGATTGTCAGGGAATCTTTTCAAGTTTAGATGGAGTCTCTTCCTTTGCATCTGTTTTTGTTACCACTCTGACTCTTGTCATTGGGAACTGACTCACCTAGCTCGGTGAGCAATTATTTTTAGCCTGAGTGATAATGTGTATGTGGTTGGAAGCTTATAATTTAGTCATTTTTTAAATTGGAGAAGCTCAAGTAATTTATCTTCTTTTGAGATT